GGGCAGCCCGTGCGTTGGCCAATTTTTGTTTTTGTTTCGGGGCAAAAAGCAGAGAAGAAAGGGCAAAGCTCCAGATGCGCAAAAACTAGTGAAGCCGAAGTGAAAATGAATATGTTAACCCAAATTTGGAGCAAAAAATTTGCCACTCCAATTAAGCCTCCTGCGAAGCTTGTGACATCTTTTAAACTGTTATATTGGAATTGGAAGTTTTCTTCCTTTTTGTGCATGAGCACTATCTTCAACTTCCAAACTCCTTGATCAGCTTACTTGGCCAGTTCTTAGCGTTTCTTGAATTTAAATCACCAAATGGGGAATGCAGCACTAAACTGTTTTTACAGGCAATCATTAATTTTTCAGCGGAAACACACTGAATAGAAAAATTTACGAGACGGCGCAGATGGGGCAGGCGCCGCAGCGCCAGCAGCCGCCGCCGCACATGCAGCAAATGCAGCAGCGCCAGCAGCCGCCACCGCAGCATATGCAGCAAATGCGCCAACGTGGGCCAGCGCCGCCACAGATGCAGCAAATGCGCCAACATGGGCCACCGCCGCAGCAGATGCAGCAAATGCGCCAGCAGCATCAACAGTACCCGCAGCAGTACCAGCAACAGTACTACTAGACACTCCAGCAGCAGCAGGAGCCGGATATGGCGTACATGCCTCGCCGCCGTGGATAACTTTTTGAGTTTTTGTATGTGTTGAAATAAAGATGATTTGCATGCAGTTATCAAATGCGTTCTACTCACACAGCTTATGGTACTTGCATACATGGTTGAACAGTATTTCCCAGCGATGCAACTGCTAATTCTTTTAGTAGCTTTTATCACTGGTGCACTGCTGTGTAGCTAGCATGCTAACGATCCTGACATTCATTTCTTCTGCTGAATAGCTGCCATCATCTCTTTCTATGGAAGTACTTAGCTATTTCCAAATATCCGTGGTATGTTCAGTATTACTGCGCGGTCTACGAGTTATGCTAAATCAGAGACGTAAACCAACACCTGAAAGACCCTGTAGGAGACAACGCGAGGGCGCACGAAACACAATTGAGGAAGGGAATACGACAGTGCCGTTGAAATCTAGATTAAATATGCAGAGAAGTGAGAAATGAAATGGTGTGAAAAAGATGACCATTGCGAGAGGTGAAGAATGAAAAAGTTACTGAGATTTTTAAACGGCTGGAAGAAAATCACAAGAGAGCAGAATGTCTTTAATTTATGTCGACTCAGTTGTACTGAGCACAGAGCGTCTTTAATTTTAGCAAGCTTGCACGAGAATTTTGTTCATGTTTGGTTACTTGGAGAATCAAGGGAGCACGGCAATGAAAAAGCCAGACTGGGCATAAGTGGTAATCTAAAAAAAGCTAATGCCTTTACTATCAAGCTTTATCCTTTCTTGCATTCCGTACTCAAGGTAGCTACTAAAAATCGGCTCGGCCCGGCACGGCTCGGCTCGGCTCAGCTAGCCCTCGGCTGCCTCGGCCGGAATTCGGCCAGTCTCGGCTACCTCGGCCAGACCTCGGCCACACCCTGGCCGCCTCGGCCACAACTCGGCCGCCTCGGCCACAACTCAGCCGCCTCGGCCAAACCTCGGCCGCCTCGGCTCGCCTCGGCTGGCTCCTGGCAACGGCATTATCGTGAAGCATAGAGTAAGAGAGCGGGACGGGAAGGTGAGGGGACAGGCAGAGGAAGGGGGAGGAGGTGGACGGGGAGAACGTTGGCAGGGGAGACGGGAGGAGGTAAGGGCAGTGGGGACGGATGGGAAAGACGGGAATGGGGCGAACCGGGAAGAGGGGGAGCAAGGATAGG